CATACATACATACATACATACATACATACATACATACATACATACATACATACATCATACACGCTCACAATACACACACACACACACACATACATATATACATACATATTATGCAGCTTATTTAGTTTGAATGATTGGACTTACCTGCTGACAACAAAGTTGGAACAAAAGAAGAAAAAGGCAATACAAGGCACTGTTATACTCCACATGGCTCCTGCAGCCCGGCCACCTTTTTGGTAGCTCATTGTCACAGATGGAGATCTCATCCTAAGGTCCACGTATTGTGTGGGCGTTGTACCTCCACTTGAAGTATCGACTGTGGTGTTTGTTAGGCAAGTCACGTGACCCTTCTTTGAAAAAGAGTTTTAATCCTCTTTTAGTCTTGGATAAACGAGGAAGATGTGTCTTCAGATCTCTGCTAGTTCCTTGACGGTAATATATACATTTTTTTAAATTGAAAGTAGAACTCGGTTCTTCTGGCCCGATGAATCTTCAGGTGTAGCGATATTTCTTTTGCTTGTCTGTCTATGCTGTCAAGGCTACATAACGGTCAAAGTTGTTGGCAATATTAGTTTCCGAATGAACAACGTAAATTGATAGAGATCAAACTATGTGACAACACTGATCTAAAAAAAAATCCTCTATGAAATGAGCGGAACCACCTGCTGCACACTGAAAAAAAACATATCTTCGACCATAACACAAGATTTAAGTCCAAACAACATTTCTCTTCGTAATTATGGTGTTTGTTTTGTGCATTTTTACTCCTAATTATATTCTTTAACATGCCATGAAACAGTCATCAGCGCTTACGTAGGTAACATCATATTCACACAACAGCGTAATAATTCTAGCCTATTCCCACCGTTTCAAATGATTGTACAGTTATAAAAAGCAAAGAGAATCTAAACATATCCCTCGGATCAGATGAGGTTATAGGGACTATTGGTCTATGACTTGCAACACCATTCTCTCTAAGCAGAGAATACACTCTTTTCCGATGTAGTAGTGTCAGAGCTGTCTTGTATAGGCGTAACGTCTCGACCAGCCAGATTTGTTTAAACTTTATTTATCTAATTTGCAAAAAGCAAGTGAATACGTGGTATACCCTTCAACATTGAGGATGTAGACAAAAATACTAAAGGTAGTGAAGATAAACTTAATAGATGCATCAAAAATATGGTTTCTCAACAGGCTTGATGATTATTTTTCAGAAGTTGTGCTGAAAGAAGACAGCGTGGGACGGTCTCAATTAAAACAAATAGTGATAAATAAACGCAATTCCTAGGACACTTACTTGAACTAATAAAAAGGCTTTGAACATCTTGCTTTCACTGGAAAATGAAAAGGCAAAATAGGCAGACATAGGCCATGAATATCGTACTTCGAGAATTTAGGACGGGTGATGGAGGTAAACCACAATAAAGTTTTTTAGAGCATCTATTTCAGAGAAACAGAAGTTATGAAGGTCAGCAGAAACCCAGGGAAACTCAACATCCTTATTGACGGAACACAACTCCACCAAGTAGAGGAATTTAAATATTTGGGAAGCATCTTCACACACGATGGTCGAGTTAACAAAGAAATAGAAACGAGAACTACGAAGGCAAATGCAGTGACCTACCAGCTAGCACCCCTGCTCAGTCACAAGAACATCCCAACCAACGTGAAATCCCTGCCCATCAATAGCATCTTCATACTAATCTTAACATACCAGTGCCAAACATGGTCTCTAAACAAGGCACTAGAAAGAAAAATCAACGCATGCGAAAGGAGGTGTCTCCGCAAAAGGAACGGGACTATACGTCTACAAACCGGAATACTACCAGTAATAAAGTTCATAGAGCGTCAAAGAGTCAAATGGTTCAGACATCTAACCAGAATGCCCAAGAAACAACTAGCGGCCAGAGCTTACTACACCCATGAATCCGGCTTCAAATCAAGAGGAAGAGCAAGAAAGACCTGGCTGGATGGGGTTACCAAGGTCCTGGAACAGAATAACATATCTATCACAGACGCTACACACCTAGCACATGACCGAAACCTGCACCTCCCCTCGACATCCTAAGGATACCAGGGGAAGGAAGAGTAAAGTAACAGTAAAGTAAAGCAGAGAAAAGAGTGGACAAGGATGCCTGCCGACGTCTGTTTCGTAATTGGCATTCAGGAAGAAATAGGAGTGTTATCATTATAACTATGTTTTCCCGGATCATGTTGCATGCGATCTTCACAGGCCGCCCGTATACCTTACAATAATGTACTCGAAATAGCAACGTACGAGTCATATCGAGGCACACTTTTATAGTAGTTCCTTAGGTCTCGTGTCTTCAGTGTCCATGTAGACCGCACATATTATGTTCGGTTGCCTGAAACACTTGATTTCACCACTATAGCCTGTTCATTTTCATTTGTCCGTGGTTAAAACAAAATAAAATAAAGTTTTTGCTCTGTTTACTCTTCTCGGGTCGTTCCATGAAAGTCTAAAATTAAATGTTGGATGACCAACAGCATCTAAACCTCCATTAATTAAGTTCACTGCAAACAGAGGTTCTGACACGTTTCATTTGATGTTAACCCACAGAGGGTCACAAAATAAGATCGGAATTTACAGCATACACCAAAAACACAAGAAAGTTTAACGTACGCATTAGTAACACTGTCCAACGGACGGGTGAGCACTTTTCAAGACCCGCGAAGAGACGTCAAGACGGTCGAGAGATGAAATCGACAAGCTTCCACTGAAATGTGAGGACAGGGTGGCGTCGCTATCTCGAAATGAGCAATTTGTAGGCTGGGTTACTCTAAATCATTCTATTTAGTGGCCCTGTGTATGTACCCATAGAGCAGTTTTTAATATAGGGCCCAAAGAGACAAACTTTGTTATTCATGGAATACGATTTTAAAAATATATTTCCTTTTGTTAGCTGGCCTGCACAGGTGTCATACACAGCTTCATGGGTATCGGTAAATTGATTAATGAGCTATAATATTAATTGTTTAACGCGGACAGATGAACAAGCTTATAGTTTTATCCATAGCAGTCAGACACGGCCAGATGTTTAGCTGCTTTCGCAAAGTCTGCATTGTGTGTGGCATGTTTGGCACTACTTTGGTTTGTTAGCCCAGAATGTGGCTGTGTCACGTGTGTAAAGTGTTGTCACCTATTTGCTGAGCTGGTCATCCTTCCTTTTTTAAGAATCTGTGCACCATGGATGATGTAAACTTTATAGAATGTGTGAGACCAGAGCTTTATGATAAAAAGACAAAAGATACGCGAACAGAGATTTTGAGCAACGAATTTGGGGAAAATGTAACTTCACAGGTTGACGAAAATGGTAGGCATTTTATCTATTTATCATTTCTAATGAACAAACGCTTTGCATTACATTTGTGAATTTGTATACAAAGTAGATCAGGGGACGACGTCTTAATCCTAAAGATTCTCTGCTGAACTGCCAGACTAAAATATTGCGTTTCCTCGTTAGCATCATAACGTAATTTGGCCGTGTTACAGTTTGTGATCTCTTGGAAAATAGCAAAATGGCGCTTCACCACCACATGCAGGCGACGTGAGTTCAACTCCCATGTGGAGATAATTTTTATTGAGTATGTCGGTCTTTCTGCTGGGATGTTGTATCCTTCTCAGTCTTTGTTGGAACTGATAATCAGGACTGAAGCCCGCCGCCTAAATTATCAAAATTATACATGTATCGGTAGGGGAGTAAAGCACCTACCCTACACTTAAAAATGAACAAAAAGAAAATAGATAAAGAAAAACATTTTTATAAGCTAATTTACTTTAGAGACTTTACAAAAAATACCGGAGGCTAAAGTTTTGGTTCGAAAAACCGAAAGACACAATGAAGCATACAAATCCCACAAGGCAAAGAAAAAACCCTGAAACTACGAAAGATTTATCACATTGTTGTATATGCTATGGTTTTTGACTGCTGCAAGTGTTAACATTATAGGACTTTCTTAGACCAGAACTTACTAGCTATTCCAGCTTGACGGAGTTAAGAAGAAGGAATTATGGTTAAGAAAAAACGGAAAAAAGTTAAGTACATAGAATGTGTTACAACAAGAAAGCTCCAGTGACTGCTAAGATTAATTTAATAGAGTTTATAGCAGGGTTCTCAACTGATGCCCTCGGGACGATGGTTTGAGGTCTGAACTCTACATTAAAGTCAGCGCGGCACAAGCTTGATCAGTTTTTTTCATACATCAATTTCAAATAGACTTTGTGCCACTTATGGCAGCACAGAGTGAAAAGCTTTTCTCCACCATGGACTTGAACAACTCAATGAGATGATCAATGAGATGATCAGTGAGATGATCAATGAGATGATCGAGCGCCTTCAAGCCATTCTGAAGTTCTTGCTTGTTTCCTTTCTAGCAAATGTGGCTGTGAAGAGAGAGAAAGAGCGCTGCCAAGGTCTGTGGCAGCAAGACGGGGGTAAGAGAAGCATAGTATTATTTAAGTTCTGAAGAACCAATCATGTTCTGAACTGCCATTTAAAAATAAAGACAGAGAATATGAGAAAGTCGTACTTTTTAAAAGAATAGCGAAAACCTTTTTTCTTTTGAAAAATACTGGAAGTGCCCAGGCTCACCCAGACTTTGTCTCGACTAACCCCCGAGTAATTTGAGTATTTTGAGGCCCCTGATATTGAGTGGGATAACTTAGTTTAAAAGAAATACATGTAAAATAATAAGTATAATTATGAAGTTCAATATCAATGTTTAAGAACAATATAACATTTTATGTGTTATGAAGAACTGTTTCTAACTTGAAGACACTAATGTTTTCTATTAGACAAATGACACCTTTCTGACATGAAGAAACGAATATTTTTTACTTTAAAAATTAATTCTTTGTGAGATGAAAAATTCAAACATTTTCTTCAATGGAAAGTTAGGATATCTCTTAACAGGATATCTCTGACATAAAGAAGTGAATGACGCAAGATATCTTTTCTAAAAACCCTTGTCACTCTTTTTATAAAAACTTTAAAAGAGAATCAAAAGCACACAAAAATGAAATCGACCTAGACGTATGTACGAAACTTAATTTTAAACGTTAGCAACAGATCAACCGTGGATTAAAAAACAGCCGCATCGCTCGAAGGCGTGGAGAAGAAAACTGCAGTAAAATTCAAGTCATGATCACACGGGAAACGAAAAGACGAGTTTTGTTTAGTCTACTTGAAAAGACTAATCGATAAATGTTTTCCTTTACCCCTTTTGATGGAAGGTATCATAGCACAACGCAAGTCCAGAGAGAGAAAGGCAAATACCTAAAAACTGTTTAGTCAAATATAGAGCACTGAGCACCACCGGCGTCTGTTGAAGTGGAACTCAAGAGAAAAAACTCATACCAAGAAAAAAAAAGATGAAAAGACGAAAACAAGGATAGATTCTAGACTAGTATCCAACATGTGTTTCTGGGGGAGCAAAATCTGGCTAGTAAAGGACTTTTGACGATGACGGTGGTGTACGAAAGAACAATTTGTTCATTAAATAAACCATAGCTCATAAGATGGAAACCCATAAGGTCAGAATAAATAGCGGAACGTAATATGCAAGAGTTTGAAAGGTTGTTTTGCAATTTAGGAGAAACATATTACCTTCTAAGAAATTTGATGCGTTAGATATGACGTACAAACGTATCACAACTGTCTAAATAATGCCCTCGACTTCACATGTGTTTCCTGATATATACGCTTGATGATAAGAAAGAAAACGGGCCAAAAGAAAGTGGTGGAAGTAAGAAACGCTGAACATATCTATGTTATCTCCTTCAAATTATTAACGAGTCGTGTAAAAAGCAAAAAAATAAATAAATAAAAATAAAAATAACACCACATTCCGATAAAAACATCCGAAAATTCACCAGAACCTATCGCATATGTCAAAAACGAGGTAGATCTCTTACTTCTGTCACAATTCAATAAACACAATCCACACTCGCGTTATCGAACTGGCTCGTTTTCTGAATTCACAATCGTAGAGGTACGGTCAAGATCTGTCCCCTTCTTCCCTCTCTTTTTCTCTCTCACTCTCTATCTCTCTCTCACAAGCACGCAAGCCTGAAGTCTGTGGTCAGTGCCGGACCCTGGTTTACCAGCCCCCAACAGCCCCTCTCTTCTCTCTGTGTGTATCCACACGCGTCAAGCCGTGAGCCACACGAGAGAGGGGGAGCGATTCCGAACGACAGGGTAAGTTTGTGGATGTGTGGTGGGACAAGGCGCTGGCTCTCCCTCACATAGAGCTGGGACAAAAGACAGAGAGAATTGTCCAATGGTAGTGACAAGCTCCTTGATTACATCTTCGATAAAGCACGGGCTACGATCTCAACTTATAAAAAACGTTGTAATTTGTTTGATATAAGCCTGGGTGGGGAACTATGATAATGACATGTAATTTGATACATTTATCTTTTGTTTACTTTGTTTTTTGCGGGGAAAAGGGGGAGGGGGGCTGACAAGATAATAATGGCAGTTGAAGCGGTGTCACGTGGGTAAAAAAAAGAGTGGTGGGGGCTAGTTTGTGTTACCCGTCTTTTCAGGTTTGCAACAGCATGTCGCTAGTAATTGGGTCGGGAGCGCACCGGCTTATGAGTTCACTTGTCGAGACTGAAGTACTCATGAACAACGCTCCGCACAAAGAAGGCTTGACTCCCTTTCCAAAATTCTGCAGAAAAAGCATAATAGGGCGAATATGTCCCCAAAAAATAGAGAAGAAAGAAAACCCCGGGTAACTGCAAACAATGCCCTGTATAATCTCACAGTCTAAAAAATTCCAATGGCTGTGGTGTAGTCGTAAGGTATATACTTTGCTTCGGAGGCAGAAGACCTGACTACGATTGCCAAGAGGGGAATGTTGCTATGTCAATCTGTGCTAGTTAGTTCTGAGTGGGGGAGGGGGAGGGCTTTACTTAATGGACAAGTCTCTAAAATGTTAACCTAAAGCAGCATATCAACCTTTCTTTGTTTTGTTATTAAGGGTGATTTTACGACTTTAATGTAACGTTAAGCTTGTAAATAGTTTCGTCACTATTTAGTTGCAGGGTTGCATCCCCTCGAAGACAGATGGAGATTCGAAAAAATCAATTACCTCCATTCGCGGAAATTAAACTCATGTATTCTGCTTTCAACGGCGAAACACCCAACCACTACATCAGAGACACCGGCATTTTACAAATTAGAGATGTGGGGTTACAAGAGAAACATTATTGAGAAGCATATTAACACAGAATCGTGTTTTATGTTCTGAAAAGCCAAGGCAAATGGCGGAAATTAGGAACAGGCAAACAATCTACAGCAAGGTAAAACCAACCAGTGACTTCCTCCAAACTCTCGGTTTTTGCAGTGATAGAAAACACGGTACTTATATAGATCTAGCGCATCAACAGAAGATGAGGACTATTTTGCCTGTTGTTAAGAATGAATTATCTTGCTATGTTCTAATGTTTCGAGGAAAGAGGAATTAATTAAGTGCCCTTCATTATTCTTATCGTGGGTTAAGGCACGATTTACTGGATTGTTCACAGAAACAGTACATTCTCACCATGAGCGAATGCTGGAGGAGGCTGAGTTAGTCCACAAATATCTTAGTGTTATATAGTATGGTATATTCACAGGGTAGTGAATTATATGGTCGCATGTCAAATTTGAACATATTCAGTCGATTCCTTCATACTTCAAGCACAAAGGCTTAAAAATTCAGGAGTTCAGTTGGGTTATGGATGTCTATGTCCTCCCATATCTGCAAACTAAGCAGAAGTATATATTTCTAACTTTTAAAAGTGTACAAAGTTACTTAACTCCAACAGAAACCAAGACATTAGTAGTATAAGTAATTTTATCAAAATTGGTTCTCTGTTATACTATTTAATTAGGTTTGGCAGCTGAAAAACTTTCAAAGTGACAAGTTGTTCAAATACCAAGCAGTAAAATTGATAATGATAAAGAAATCAGGGCACGCAACACCTAATCCTAAACATTTGGTGCTAGTAAAACAGGGTATCAAATACAAAACTGGCGTTTTCTGTTATGTCTAAGTGATAATTCTCTTGTTAATCTTAAACAATTCCTGGAGCTCTATAATCCGGGAGTTGACTCTCGTCTTTTTCACGAGATGGTCACATGGGAGTGCAGTCACAGTAGGAGAATCAATTCAGAGCGATCCCTTCATTCCAACGTTGCCAACCAGTTGATCTGCTTGCTCATTACCGAAAGCGGAATAGAGAGAGAATCAATCTAAACATCTATTATATATTTGGTTACTTGAAAACTCATGACATATGTCACTTTTCTCTCAAGATTTATTGTTCCACTAGTTTCGATGAAAGGAAAGATCGGTGCATTAACATTAACTGAATATCATTTGTCTCCTATATTTACACTCTACTGGAAAGGAGCAATAAATCTTGAGAGAAAAGTCTCAAATGTGTTTCCAAGTTGCCAAACATAATATAATAGATGCATAGATAGATTCTCTATTCCGCTTTCGTGGTGGTACACTCCAGAATTTCAAAGGTTTGGCACTTTCCCAAGATTAGATCTAACTTTCCAATACGACAAAATTAATGGTGGTTCAGAATCATTTAAATAGTGCACAGTTTTATTGAGGAGCCTGAAGTCACAATAGTTTTATTTTCAGTTTTTCATTTGTTTCGTTTAGATCTAATCTTGGGACAGTCCGTCTTCTAAGACACCATTGTAAACAAGAGAGGTTTTCGTTCACTAGCCGTGCGCACTGTTTCTACACCTTTGAAATTCTGGAGTTTACAACTACGAAAGCGGAATAGAGAATCAATCTAAGTTTATACATTTATTATATATTTGGCAACTTGAAAACACATGTGTCACTTTCCCCATAAAACTATGACAGCTACAGAGTTGAAAGTTGGCAAGTACTTGCAAAAAGGAAGGTAGGTGTCCATGACGGGAGCCCTATTTTTGATTTCTTCTTTTCTTGAATTTAGAAAAATTTATTTGACCAAAAGTTCCTGTCCTTCTTTGGCTTTTGTGATTATTTCAGTTACAAACGAAACAAATCTGCGTAGCTGTCCTTTAAAGCGGAAGTGCCGGAAGTGATATTTCGCGAGGCGCATTTTGTTTTGAGAGTATAGACCTAGACCTAATTTTTGCAACTCTCAAGATTTATAGCACCATTCCAGTAGAGTGTAAGTATAGTAGGCCAATAACTTTCAGTTGATGTTAATGAACCGATCATTCCTTTCATCGAAAGGTCCCCTAGCTAGTTATATTATGTTTGTAAAAGTCGCCACTTTCGTCGCCTAAAACTTCCGAATCACCTAACTTTCCAATTTGAAAACAATTAGCGGCGGCGCAGAATCATTTAAAGGGTGCACAGGTCTATTAAGGAGTTAATGTCACTGTAGTTTAATAATTTTCAGCTTTTCATTAGTTTCGTTTAGATCTAATCTTACGAAAGTCCGTCTTCTGAGACGTCATTGTAAACATCTTACGAAAGTCCGTCTTCTGAGACGCCATTGTAAACAAGTGCGGATTCCGTTCACATGCAGTGTGCACTGAACGCACACTGACTTGACGATCGATTCTTTTGAGACCATTCATCGAACGGGGTACTCAGCTAGTAATAATGATAATAACAATAATGATGATGATGATAATAATAATAATAATAATAATAATAATAATAATAATAATAATAATAATAATAATAATGATGATGATAAGGTGAAATGGTATACATGTATTAAGTTTAGCGTCCCTATCAACATTATTAGGTTTATTAAAAGGCCGGACCTCCTTCGAAAGGACCGAGCAACATGGGAAATTCGTGTAAAGTGCCTTTCCCAAGGAGCAACGTCGGACCGAACTGAGGCTCGAACCCCCGAACCCGCAATCTCACGATTACGGGCCCGGCAGCCTTTGGCTATCGATGCCACCTATAATGACAACAATAATGAAGATAATTATGATAATAATAATAGCAATAATAGCAATAACAGTAATTGTAAAAATAATTTTTTTATACAAATAACAGTAATAATTATAATAATGATGATGATAATAATTAGAATTTATACAACGTCTAGAATGCTCTAAGTGCTGTGCAATGCAGAATTATCACTAACTGACACATCATGAGTGAGACCGTCTAACAACACAAACTCACGGTGTGCGCGCACACACACACTCGTACACACTCACACACACGTACACACGCTCTCTCTTTCTCACACACATACACAAACACACACATACACACACACACACACACGATCACACACACATACACACACACACACACACACACACACACACACTCAAACTCACACTTTTCTTAAACTCTGTGTGATGAAACTCTTTTGGGAGGGAATTCCAATTTTTAGAGGCATTTGAAGACCCCCCCCCCCCCCCCCCCGACCCCTTTCCGAAAGTATTAGATCTTACAGCAGACACTTTTATGAGATTCTCATCCGCAAATCTCAAAGGTCTGGATAGTGCGTATGACTCAATGATGTCTTTATTGTTGAGGCGCTTTGTTGTTTATGCACTTTTGACATAAAAAGCAACGTTTACTTTGTAATTAATTGCAGCTTTACCTAGTAGCCAATGCAGCTTTATCAATAAACGTGTGATGTGATCTATTTTGAAACCGCTGTTGCCTGTTCATCATTTTCAAACTTAAATTGGCTAAAAAGGGAACTACAGTGTTGTCAAGTCTAGATACAAATATGCTGAGACGGGAAACTGGAGATAATTTTTATTTAACAAGTGAGGAATTCGACCTTTTCACCTAAATTCACATAGCCTGCACGTGCTTGTGTGTTTGAGTGTGCGCGTGTGTGTGTGTGTGTGTGTGTGTGTGTGTGTGTGTGTGTGTGTGTGTGTGCGTGTGTGTGTGTGCGTGTGTGTACAAATTTGAGGAGAAGGTAAATTTATGGAACAAGAATTGCTGAGATTGTTTACATTATAAAAGATAACGCAAATTAATACAACAACAACAAAAATAAAAACACGGCAAGATCTAGTCAACAGTCAGTTACTGGCGAAGGAATCAAGAGAGTCTTGGGGGGGAAAATCCGGAAGACGACAAAAGCCTCGAAATATGAAATTCAGTTGACAACGAAGACATGTTTCAAGAAGCCGAGACTTTCATCAGAAAACTGCGATGG